ATAAGCAGCCGCATTTGCGACCATAGGTGATAAGGGAAGGAGCCGCAGGTGCGCGCATGGGACCGCACCTACCCCGCATCTGCGGTTTTCAATGTTTAAGTGAAAACTGCACCTGCAATGGATTTTTTGTAGGTGCGGCATCGCAGAAGCGACTTATGGACCGCTGATGCGGAAGTTCTGGGCAGAAAGTATATATGATCTCCTTCGCAAATTTCAGTTCATTCTTCACCATTTTTTGACGAGTTTGGAGCTTAGAGCAGTGATTTCAAGAGGGAAGCGAGGGATATCAGTGGGGTAAGTTACTTGGGCTTCATTATTTGTGTTTGTGATGATTTTTCCGTTGTTAAATCATGGAATTTAGTGGGAATTTGGAGAGAAGTTGAAGGGGTTAGGGCTTGAGTTTTGGAGAGTTTTGATTGAGTATTTGAGGGACCATTTGAGGTCCGATTTTGATGATTTTGGTATGTATAGACTCTGGAGTGAAAGGAGTTCCTAGTTTTGTAATTTTTGTCGGATTCCGAGACGTGCGCCCGGGGGCCGGGTTTGAGTTCAATTCGGGATTTTTGGTCTAATTTGATAATTTTCGTGTGGAATTAATTCCTTTAGCGTATATTCATTTAATATGCTGATTTTGGTTTGATTCGGAGCATTTGGAGGCCGAGTCGAGAGGCAAGGGCATCCCGGGTTAGAGTTTTGTCCGTTTTGAGGTAAGTGATGATTGTAAATCTTGTCCTTAGGGTATGAAACCCCGGATTTCACATCGTGTCATTATTTTGAGGTGACGACCATGCTAGATGACGAGCGTGAGGGCGTGCACCCTTGGAGATTGTGACTTGGTCCGTCCCGTAGCAACTATTAAGTTGCGTATTTGACTGAAAACTATTTGATACTTATGTTCTTTGAAAAGTATTACTATGTTTTGGGCAGAATCTCATATTTGGGCCTCGTGCCAAGCTGTTTGAACCCTTAGGGGCTTTTTACTACTATTCCTCATTGTTTTGAGTTAATATCTGTACTCAGTCATGCTATGTTTTTACTGATTTCCTAACTCAGTCTTATTTACTCCGTTTGATGCATAAAATGATATTTTGGCTGAGCACCCTGTTTTACTGTTAGCCCGAGTTGTTTGAGAGGTTTCTGACTGAGTGAGGCCGGTAGCATGTGTTGTGAAGATATTGTGGGATCGGGCTGCGCGCCGTAGCATATTGTTACTGATTGTGATCTTGAGAGGCCGAGGGCCTGATTTATTATGCCACGGGATGGCTTGTTATAGCGCTTGGGCTGTAGGAGCCCTTCCGGAGTTTGTACACCTCAGTGAGTGCGGGTACCCTGATTGAGTGATATGATGTTGCCTGAGGGTCTATTCTTGATTCATGTTGTGCCCGAGGGGCTAATTATGAGCGAGGGGCTGATTCTGAGAGATGTTATGCCTAAGGGGCGGTTTATGATACATGTTTTGCCCGAGGGGCTATTTTTGGTTTTCATCACTTTTACTCTAAACTTCATTGAACCTCTGCTGGAACTGTTGGAAAAATATCTTCAAATGATTTTATTGAAATTGGATTTTTATGAGATGATCTGATTTATATACTATTTTGAAAGCATACCGTAGTTACTGTGATTTTATGACGTAGATTTATGTGTTTCTTACCGCTCAGTCTTTATTTACTTTTATTACTTACTGAGTTGGCGTGCTCACATTACTCCCCGCACCTTGGTTAAAATTGTACGGGGCGCCCTATTTGGTCGCCCCCATTTAACCTATACCCATTTTTCTTAAAAACTTTTAACTTGTACCCACTTTTTAAACAACTTCAGCCCCCTTTCTCGTCCTCCTTCTCCTCCTTCGTTTTCTTCTTTCTTCTTCAACAATTATGACTTCAACATTGCTCTCTTTGTTTAATGAAGCTAAAGCAAATATACCGAGGACTTCCACTTGGATTATTATAACATTAAAAATCCCAAACCAAGAGACAATAAAAGTTCTTTGAAATTTCAGTTCTGTATTTGTAAATTTCGGTGAAAAAAACTAAAGTGGCATGTGTCAAGCCGGTAATATTTTTAAATACATTATGTCGTCTCTTTTTATAATGATTCAGAACAGCACAGAGGAGATGGAGGTGATGGTAAAGGACATTGGATTTATGACAAGGTACAATATTTCCAAAATTAATGGAAACTAACTTTTCTCATTACATACAAGACATACTACTTATTAGTCCAATGCGTTGACAAACTTAAACGTGATTGAAAACTACGGATACCTTGTATACTGCGTACATATTGGACAAAAGAAAGAAGAGTTTGGATCAGATAGCATAAAACATGCTGAAGTTAATCAAATATAGAACAAAAACTTCAGCTCCAGTTACAAAGACAAAAACTTCAGCTCTAGAGCTGAAGTTCCCCAGTTACAAAACAAAAACTACAGCTCTAGAGCTGAAGTTCGCCAGTTACAAAAACAAAAACTTCAGCTCTAGAGCTGAAGTTCGCCAGTTACAAACAAAAACTTCAGCTCTAGAGCTGAAGTTCGACAGTTACAAAAATAAAAACTTCAGCTCTAGAGCTGAAGTTCGCCAGTTACAAAACAAAAAAACAAACAAAAACTTCAGCTCTAGAGCTAAAGTTCGCGAGTTACAAAACAAAAACTTCAGCTCTAGAGCTGAAGTTGGCCAGTTACAAAACAAAAACTAGAGCTGAACTTCAGGCCCGCCTACTAGAATGCTGAAGTTTTGCGTGATTGCCTTTGCTACTTCAGCCCCGTATGCTGAAGTTATGCGAAAAAGCGGGTACGCTTGCAATTTTTTTTGCAAAGCGGGCACAAGTTAAAACGTGACACAAAAAACGGGTATAGATGCAAATGCCCCCGCACCTTGTGTGCAGATCCAGGAGTTGCGGATCGTGATAGCGAGCACTGATCTTTCATCCGTCGTGGATATCGGAGTCGACAAGGTAGCTGCATGGCGATCGCATCCTTGCTCTTCTCCCTCTTATCTTCCTTAGACTATATTAGTATTTTCCAGACTGTGATAGTCTTACTTGTATTCAGACAGTCCTTAGTAGATGCTCGTGACTTGTGACACCCCGATGTCGGGCTTTTGTTCTTTCCGCCCTTGTTATTTAGACTTATACTGTGAAATTTTATTAATTAATAGCTTAAAACATCTTATTTATGAAATATCGGTTTGTTTTGGGATTGTTCCAGCTGGCCTAGTTTCATGATAATACTAGACATGAGTACTGCTATGTTCGTAGAGTTCCCAAGTGCAGAAATTATCAGATATGTATATACAATGACAATGTTATTATGAGTGTTGTGTACTTTATACTATGACTTTTATTTATGAGAAGTTCATATAAATCTCCTTTTGAGAAATGTCTTTGTATTGATAAATTGGCTATTTTTATTACTTTGTTAGGCAAGTATATTTTCTATTAGCCAGGTGCAACTAAGAAGCAAATAAAGCTGATATAAATTTAATTTAATTGCTGGTAAAAGTTTTAGCCACAGAACTTTAGGAGATGCTCTTACTATATTAGGAGACATTAAATAATTCAAGATGATAGGTTAGGTTATACAATTTAGTAGGTTCGTTCTCTGCTCCCTTCACATGACAAATATATACGGTATAAATCGGGGCTACACTATTTGACTATTTGATCGAAACAAGAACATTGCATTGAAGAGCTAAGGCATTGGTTTCGAGATCGAAATCTTTTTCGAGATCGAGATCGGTAACAATCGAAGTTAGGGAGATAAACTTCGAGTAACATCGGGGATAGCTAGGTAACAGAAAGAGCGAGATATCCGTGGTCGGTCGAGGATCGTGGCGTGAATCTCAGAACGGACCAAATCAGAAGCGGTTAATTAGCTGTTTATACGATTTCCTTCTGTAATTAGAGACATACCATAATTAGGACAACTCTATTATATAAAGAGGGATCCCAATCACTTGTAGAGGGGATTATTTTCACTGAAACAAGAGCAATATAGCTCTTCTTTCCTGACTCGTATTCTTGTCCATCAATTTATTCAATCTTTACTGTTCTTATACTGTTATCACCTCAAGGGCACGACTGAAGCCCTTGTTTGCATACTGGTTTGGACTATTTACAGTTCAATTCTACCTTTTATTTTGTTACTTATCAATTGGTATTGGGTGAAATGACATACGCTTAAAACCACAATATAAGTTTAATTGTTATCCGAATTTGAGGGTAAACAAATATATATATATATATATATATATATATATATATATATATATATATATATATATATATATATATATATAAAGATGCTGAAAGATATATATCAAACAACAACAATCCCAGTGAAATCCCACAAGTGGGGTCTGGGGAAGATAAAGTGTACCTAGATCTTACCCCTACCTAATGACGGTAGAGAGGCTATTTCCGATAAACGCTCGGCTCAAAAGAGGTGAAAATGAAGCAATAAACAGAAAATAACAACAATAGGTAATTAACACAAATGGATATACGTCCAGCAATATATATTTAAAATATATATCCAGATAGCAAATACAAACAGCATGATATGTTCAATTGTCAGCCAGATATTCTAATTGCCCTAGCTAAAGGAAAATGCAATCCTTATTAAAGAGAAAGCATTTCGTAGAACCAATCAGGATTATAATAGAATGGTAAGTACTCTTTTATTCTGAACTAGAGGTCTTGAATTTAATACTCCAATGTGCAAATTCTAGGCCGAATCTAGATTTTGGGTGCCCAATACCGATATCGAATACCGTAAAAAAACCCAACATTCTGTAGGTTCTTTAGTAAGTTGAGTCTAAAAAACAATCTATATATCTAGCTACCAATTTCTGGTACTCCATTAATTTAATATTCAATCTAAAAAAATATCTAAATAACATTTCTTGTACTCCATTAATGTAATATTCAATCTTCGCACCGCAAGAAGTTCAGATGATGATGCTATAAATAGAGGCAAAGTGTTCATTAGTTTCCTCATCCTTATCGCAACTAAAGTAAACTGTTTATAATGTTTTCAAGCAAGGACAAAAAAATGGAATTAAATGCATTTATACTTATTGTTTTGGCTATTTTACTTGTGATAACATCTGAGGTTGCAGCTAGGGAGTTGGCTGAGAGCCCCACCAATTCTATGGACAAAGGTAAAATTTCCTTCCTCTTTTTTTTTTTTTTTTTTTTTTTTAATTTATGGTCTAAAACAAGTTATATTCTCGTACATGTGGTTGTAAATCATCTTATTAGAGATCGTTTGGTTAGAATACAAGTTATGCTGGGATTAGTTATACTATGATTAGTTATGCTGAAATTATTAAAATGGGACTAATTTTTAATGATTATATTTTTAATCCTGGGATAACTTATCCCAAGATTAGTAACCAAACAATGGATAGGCGATACAAAATTTTCATTGCAGGATAATTTTTATTTATCCATCATATCAAACGACCCCTTTAGGATAATTGAAATGTTTAAAGTTAAATTATTTCTAAATTAGAAAGATATCATACTTTCTAGAACAAACTAAATAAGAATATGCATCACATAAATTGGGACGAAGTAGTACATTTCAAGAGTTTTTTTTTTTTTTTAACTGACCCCTTCTGGTTATGAGGTAACGCTTTCTCAATAAAATTGATTTTTATACTCGAGACTTTTACTCTTCAACTTTAAAACATATATTTCTTTATGGTTAAACGTTATGGATTCAGTTTATTTATATTAGATTTAAGTTATATACGTACATTAATAGGGTAAAAACAAATTATACTACTATTGCTATTTAACCTATTGTTCATGCTTCTCGAATTAATTATGCGTTACCTTGATATTAGTTGGCCCTTCTATTTTTTTTTTATAGTCGTAATTATGGACTCGGTTTATTTTGCATTTGCTTCTATTCTTAACAACTCGAGTACTCTAAAAGGAATAAAAAGATCACAGTCATGATCATCAGCCTCACATGCACATGTATATGATGGATTTAAGTTATTACAACGACAACATAATTTTTTTAACAATATATATATATATATATATATATATATATATATATATATATATATATATATATATATATATGTATGTATGTATGTATGTATGTATGTAAATAATTGAATAGTCTATAATAGGTAACTACTCTAGTTTTCAATTTATCATGCATATCAGCCTTGCTAAGAAAAGTACTTACCAATTATTGCATGTCAACTTAATTAACTCGATGAGGTAAACCATGCAGTGCAATTTTCTTTTTAACTCATGCAGAGGCGGATCCTGAATTTAAATTCTATGGGTTCAACTTTTTAGTTTTTTAACAATGAACCCATTATATAAAGTTATGAGTTCATATCTATTATTTTCGCAATTGTTGTGAATATACATGAATTTATTCTCCTCGTCGAAAATTATGGTTTTAATTGAACCCGTCACTAGAATACTGCATCCGCCCTTGAACTCATGTATGATCCTTGTTGCAGCAAAGGTATTCGAAGAGAAAAATGATCATGTAAATGACGTAAAAGATTTTGAATTTGGAGGATACGGAGGCATAAATGGAGGAGGAGATGGTCGAAACCCTGGCGGCGGCAATGGTGGTTTTGGAGGTTATCCAGGAGGAGGATATGGGGGAATCCCTGGCGGCGGTAATGGTGGTTTTGGAGGCTCTCCAGTAGGAGGATATGGTGGCATCCCTGGCGGCAGCAATGGTGGTTTTGGAGGTTCTCCAGGAGGAGGAAATGGTGGATTTCCTGGTGGTGGATTTCCTCACAATTAATTACTAAGGAAAATATATTTATATGAAGAATATTATGGTGGCTAATATGGAAATTTTAGTAGTAAAATAATAGTTATATTGTAGGAAGTATAAATAAAAGTAGTTATATATATATATATATATATATATATATATATATATATATATACTCGAACTATATATACATATGGATCATAGTTATTTTGGCATGAACTTAGCTCCTTTTGAAGGCCATCAACCAAGGCATTTACTATATATTATTTGTCTTCGCCACCCTAGATTTTATATGCTTTCAATAAGGACTGTTCGAGAACTCTTGTAGCTAGAATAGTTTATGTATGCAGTATCTCTCTTTACTTGTATTTGGTATACCACATGTTTAAGGGAAAATTATATAGTTCCTTTGTATATATTTCTTTAGTAAGTAATTCGAGCCCTAAATTTAGCGGCGTATGAAGCAACGGGAAGAAAAGGGCAAACTGCAAAGATCATTTTAGTTCGCGATCAAAACTATTTATATTTAATAGTCCCAAAAAATGTATAAAATTTATTTATTTTTTGAATATATATTTGCCGCATTACTTTTAGAGAGGCTATACATTAAGTTAAAGTAATTGTAGTCCAGAACAAATAAACTAAATAATTGTGTTGTTGATAGCGAGCGAAAGAAAAACTATCACTGTGTCGTGGTCGAGTGAAACTTACTTTTGTGGTTTCTAGCTAGTTATTTATTGCTTTGTTTCTCTTTCGACACACAAAAATAAATAAATAAATAAGTAAATAAGCAAAACATAGGTTCAAGGAACCGTGTGTAAAACCACTCTTAGCATGTAAGCAAGAAAACCAAGGAAAAAAATATTCATTCCGATTTAATTTATATGATATATTTTTTTATTAATCCGATTTAATTTATATGATATATTTTTTTATTAATCCGATTTAATTTATATGATATATTTTTTTATTAATCCGTTTAATATATCATATAAATTAAATCGGATTAATAAAAAAATATATCATATAAATTAAATCGGATTAATAAAAAAATATATCATATAAATTAAATCGGAATAATAAAAAAATATATCATANATACAAAATTGGTTAATTTATTAATAATTCACATGTCAATTGAACAATAATAAGTAATGGATGGATATATATATATATATATATATATATATATATATATATATATAGACAATTTAACTTTAAATTTTTCATTTGTCCATTATAGCCACACAAACATTATCGAATGTACGTTAAGATCACAAATTTTATTTTTACTTAAACATTGTGTCTAAGAAAATTATATCACATAAATTAAAACAGGGAATAATAAAAGCCCTTGAGAGTCAAAGGGATGAAAGAGCCCTTTTTGTCTAAACAGTGAAAAACTCCACTAGATTTCGTTTTTTATCGTTTCGTTTGCAAAGTTTAACAAGAAGTATAAATAGACCTATAAAAATAAAGAAAAATATATCTTTTGTATATATGTGTATTTTATACAAAAAATATTACATACTTTATACACTTTTGGCTAGCGAATACATTTAGTTTCGACCGATCAATCAATTTTATAATTTTCCCAATATAATTCTGTCACGACCCAAGTTCTCCCTCCATGAACTGTCGTGACGGCACCTAGTCTCTACGACTAGGTAAGCCTAACAATTGGCAGAAAAAGAATTTAGAAGGTACGAAACTAGCAAATTACGAGTAACATAATAAGGAAGTTTAAAATGTCGCTCGGCATATACAATATCACTCTCTCAAACAGAACAAAACACTCCCAAAACCCGGAATCTCATGAACCACAAGCTAAAGAAAATACACAGTGTTCTAACTCCAGAAGTCTAGACAAAGAAAAATACAAGAAGTCTATAGCTAAAGGGAGAATAGAGAGGGACTTCTAGGTCTGCGTACGCGGCAGATATACCTCGACGTCTCTGGGTCGCCTCGCCTCACAGATAGTATGGCTGAGTAGAAGATCCTGGATCTGCACACGAAAAACATGTGCAGGAAAGGGCATGAGTACACCACAGCGGTACCCAGTAAGTGCCAAGCCTAACCTCGGTCGAGTAGTAATGAGGAAGGTCAGGGCCCTACTGGTCATATATATAATAAGGTAAAACAGTATAAAACGTGATAGCTTAATTAAAGAAACTAACGGTCAAATAAAAATGAAATCTCAGAAAGGAAATAACTCAGTAAGCAGTGATAGCAACAGGGGATCTCCCAAGATAACGTCACGTAGTCCCAAACATAAATGTGCGGAGGATCTCCCGGGATACCGTCCCGTAGTCCAAAAGCAAATAACCAGTACAAGGGGATCTCCCGGGATACCGTCCCGTAGTCCCAAATATAAATGTGCAGGGGGGATCTCTCGGAATACCGATCCGTAGTCCCAAAGTAAACATGCAGGGGGATCTACGGGATACCGTCCCAAAGTAAACACACAATAGGCTCAAGAAATAAATCTACAATTCTATTCAAGTTTGTACCAAGAAACAGGAAATTCTACTCTAAATATGCTACACAAAATCCAAGTAAGCAGTTAAAGCAGATAAGACAGTTAAGTCACATAAGCATGCTTTCCTAAGCCTAACAGGAAACTTCAAATTCAAGTATTGCTCAATTAAAAGAAGACACAGATATTTACTTAATGAAAACAGGGTTTTTCAACAATTAACACGTGTACGCACTCGTCACCTCATGTACACGGCATTCATATAATCAACAGTACCAAAATCCTAAGGGGAGTTCCCCCACACAAGGTTAGGCAAGCCACTTACCTCGAACCAAGCTCAATCAATCCAAAATCACGCTCTTGCCACGAGTATCCAACTGCGAGTGGCCCAAATCTAATCAAATCAATTTCATAATGTAAATATAACTACAAACAACGAGTTTAGCTAAAGGAATCGAAGCTAAAGCAAGAAAATAGAAAAACGCCCAAAAATCCTCCCCGGGCCCTCGCCTCGAAATCGGGTAAAAATTATGAATTATGAACACCCATTCACTCACGAGTCTAATCATACCAAATCACTCAAATCCAATGCCAAAATCTCGATCAAAATCCCAAAATTCGGCTCTAAGAACTTTTCTCAATCTTTCCCAATTTTTCACCCCAAATCTAAAATAAAATGATAAAACTAACAATAGATTAATGGGATATAATAAAAAAGGAGTTAGGAATTATTACCCACTGATTTTCTCTTCAAAAGCCACACAAAATCGCCTTGTCCCGAGCTCAAAATCGAATTTGATGTTATGAGCTTCAAACCCTCGAATTTCATATTTCTGCCCAGCGATTTCCACTTTTGCGGTCATGGGGTCACATCTGCGGTCCCGCACCGACAGAAAAAGCATCGCAGGTGCGAAATCCACTTATCCGGGCTAGGGCCGCATCTGCGGTCACTGGGCCGCATTTGCGGTACCGCTTCTGCGGTTCCCCAGCCGCATCTGCGCTCCCTGCACTACAAAAAAACTGGAATTAGTTGTGAACGCCGTCGCTAAAACGCTCATAGCTAGCATAATTTCTTGATAATCCGTTGCTAATCCGTTGCTAAATGAGATTAGCGACGGAATTTTCTGTTTAGCTGTAGAATTTGTCTGTCGCTAAAACCTGATTTTTTAGTAGTGCTGGAGCACCAAGCCAAACCCGCTTCTGCGGTTACTTAGCCGCCTTTGCGGCGCCGCACCTGCGGTCCTACATACGCAGGTGTGGTTATAGCAGGTTCAGCAACATCAGCAATTGCCTAAATCCAAATCAACTTCCGTTAAGCATCCGAAACTCATCTGAGGCCCCCGGGACCTCAACCAAACATGCCAACCAATCCTAAAATTCATACGAACTTAGTCCAACTCTCAAATCACATCAAACAACGCTAAAACCACAAATCACCCTCCAGTCCAAGCCTAAAGAACTTGAAATTTCAAGAATCCTACAACCGATGCCGAAACCAACCAAACCATGTCCGATTAATTTTGCACACAAGTCATAGTGCCGGGTCTTATTTACTGGTTATTGTTTTACTTTTTTTTCTATTTTTCCTATTCTTGTGATACTGTTTTTTTCCAAAGTTTTTGTTAATGCTACTGATATATTGCCTCTTTTCATCTTCTTGAGCCGAGGATCAAACGGAAACAGTCTCCCTACTCCCTCGGGATAGGAGTAAGGTCTGCGTACATACTATCCTCTCCATACCCTACTAGTGGAAGTGGTTGTTGTTGTAATTCAACCCCTCCTCTTTTACTACTTTAAGTTTGTAACGTAATAATGTGTTTATAAGATAACCTGCGGGTTTCATCTTAAAAAGAAGGAATGGATTGTTAGCCCTATGATGGCAAAACTGAAGGAATACAATAATCAAATTTACTTGAGTTTGTGATATATGTAATATTGTATGGTTATGTTAGTTATTCTTATTAAATATTATTATATTTTTATTGTTACTTAAATTTTATTATATTGTATTGTTAAATTTGTTGTTACGTAAAGAGCAATTATTTTTTGTAACAACTAATTTGGTGTGATCGTCTCGTTACTTTATTTTCTTTTCCACTATGTTTTTACTTATTATTTTATAATTCTATGTCGAGATTACGAGTGAGGAGAGCTCTGAATCACCTCCAATGGAGGACACAGAAGCTTCTCGAAGAGAGAGAAGAAGAAGAGCTGCTAAAGAGCTGTTAAAATCGGTTAAACTGAAAAGTGATCACTAATTACTAAAATGTCCAACACTGTTTAATATATATAGCAATGCTAATCAGTAGCTAAAAGGTGCTGACTCAGCACTATTACAAGAATAAATATGATACGCATTACTAATTCAATACTATATTCTTAATACCCCCCTCAAGTTGGATGTGAGGAAGTCATACCCAACTTGCCAAGTACAGAGCAGTGTTTGATCCCAGTGAGAGCCTTAGTGAGCACATCTGCAAGTTGCTGGCCTGTACCAATGTGATGTAGTGAGATGAGCCCCTCCTGAAGTTTGGTACGCACAAAGTGGCAATAGACCTCAATATGCTTAGTCCTCTCATGGAACACAGGGTATTTAGCAATGTGTAGAGCAGAAAGACTATCACAGTGCACAGGTATTGGCAAATTAACTGACACGGTAAGTTCTTCAAGCAGCCTGGACAACCAAACAAGTTCACCAACAACTTTTCTAAGAGCTCTATATTTTGCCTCTGCTGAAGAAAGAGATATGATTTCTTGTTTCTAGGATTTCCAACTAATGGGACATCCTCCCAGAAACACAACATACCTAGGCACTGATCTTCTGGAGTCAGGGCAGCTGCCCATCAGAATCACAATAGGCAGCTAGTGAAAGATCATCCTTATTGCTGAAATATAGGCCCAAAGTGGGATCTTTCTTCAAGTACCTTAGCATGTGATAAG